CTCCCTCCTCACCCCTACCTTTAGAAGGACCTGGACTCCTTTAAGACTCAGCTCAGACACATCTTTCTTCAAGACGCCCTCTTTTCCTGGTCCCTACAGCTATTAGTGTCTTTGGCTCTAAGATTTTATTGTATCTGCTTTATATGTGTTTTAAATATAACTGAATATATCTCTCTCCCCTGTTAGAATGTAAGTCCTTTGGGGGGCAGAATGGCATAGTGGATAGAATGTTTGCCTTGGAGCCAGGAAGACCTGGGTTCAAGTCCTCACTTCTTCACATACTGTCTGTGTAACCCTAGGTAAATCACTTAACCTCTCAGTACTCCAGAGTTGCAGGGAAAATGTCTCTCTTAATTGATAGAATTTCCTCACCCAAATATTCCTTAGATTAATGAAAGCACAGGTTCAATACCTATCCTTCTTGGGGGCAAATTCTATTTCATATTTGTCTTTTAATACCCAGCCTAATATAGTGCCTAGTCATAGCAGATACTAAATAAATGTTTGCTTGCTTGACTCTGCCTCATTGACTTTCCAAAAGGGAAAATAAAGTAGGGTCTGGGCCCAGGATACTCATTTCCATCATCTAGAATCCCTAGGAGAAGTCAGGCTCATTTCAGAGATTTGAGAAAAAAAGGCTGAAGAAATGATTCTATAAAAATCACATTACATGGAATGTCAGAGCCAAAAGGGGTCTTAGAGACAATCCCATCTAAACCCTTTATTTTTTTGTGAGTTAATGGGGTTAAGTGACTTGCCCAGGGTCACACACCTGGTTAAGTGTCAAGTGTCCGAGGTCGGATTTGAACTCAGGTCCTCTTGACTCCAAGGCCGGAGCTCTATCTACTGTGCCACCTAGCTTCCCTGGATTTTTTTTTGTTTGTTTGTTTTTCTTTGTGTTTTGTTTTGTTTTTTTTTTTGGTGAGGCAATTGGGTTAAGTGACTTGCCTAGGGTCACACAGCTAGTAAGTGTCAAGTGGCTGGTCTGAGACCAGATTTGAACTCAGGTCCTCCTGACTCTAGGGCCGGTGCTCTATCGAAACCCTTTATTTCATAAGTGGTACAGAAAGCCATCCTGTAGTATATTCCATCAAACTATTGTTCTTGAGAACAGATCTCAAAACTGAAAACATTTTTAAAAGAAATGTATTTTGTTATTTGGCAGTAGAGAGTGAGGTAGAAAAGGAATTGGCTCTCTCTACCCAAATTTGGGAAGGTTTACCCTTTATAGGATTTTGATAAAGGAACTGACAAAAACATTACACACAAGGCACACATGAATCACATGAAGGGAACCCAAAACACAAGGTTGGGTGGACCTTAAACAAGTTCTGGGTGTAGTAACTCGTGGATTCAATAACTGAGGGAACTCAAAATTCGTCATAATAATCTCTGGAATTCCTAAAGAGTCAGGTAAAACTATGGGTACAGACACCCTCTAATCATATAAAGTTGGATTTAAATAATATAATAATTTTCTGAACAATATAATATAATATAGCAATATAATAAACATGTTTTCCTACAAAATAAATCAAATGTATCTTTCATATAACAGCTTCTTAGGTATATGAAAACAGGTAAGTCTTTTCCAGGTAAAACATATACAGGGCGAATTGTTAGAAATGTTCTTCTAACCATAGTAAGTCACATTTATATAAGACTTCGTGTTTTACAAAGTGTTTTACCAACAATCTTATTTGATTCTCACAACACCCTTGGGAGGTAGATGGTAATATCGGAAAGCTCCTTCCATGAGAAATTTTTATTCAAAATCCTATTATCTCTATTTTATAGGTCATGAAACTGAGATTCAACAAGGTTGACTTGCTGCCGCTCTCAAAAATTAATTAGTCTCCGAGCTGTAATTTGAACCCTGGATTCCAAGCTCCAAACCCGAAGACACTAGATCATAGTGTCTCTTACATATTTCATGCTTTCCTTTGAAACCACAGATGACCCTGGTCATTCACTGCCCATCAGGTACAGTTCTGAAAGGTCTGTCCCTATCCAAAAGAGGGGATGTCAGGAACCGCAAATTAATAAGCCGCAATCCATGACAAAGAAATCTCTTGGTTACCCTGAGCTGAATTTTCTTGTCCCACCCTTTACTTCCAGGCTTCTATAAATGTTTAGACAATATCGCTTGCACACTGACCTAGGAACAGTGAAAGGGCGACAGCAGGTCATTCCTTTCTTGAAGTCTGATATTCCTCTGTGAGTATCAGAACCTTCTGAAACTATGTGAGAACTGTGGTTTATGCTACTACATGATAATACAATTCGATTCCTCTGACTTTTAAAACTCGGTGATCTAGTATCCTTGGACATAAGATATCTTCAGGGTACGAGGCTTAATACAGTATGAATCCTCAAAAAGGAGTTGTTCTGTGAAATTTGGATTCAGTCAAAAGGCCACAGTTAAGGATCCAGAAGGCCACATGTGACCTTAAGGCCTCAGGTTCCCCACCCCTGATATAGATGCCCAATTAATTGCAGTTAGCTACTTAAATGAAGCGAGGGAGTTTTATGTGCAATGTCTCACACTCTCCTTACTCTTTTTTCCCCACTGCACAGAATTGCCCCCTACAAGTGTCCAGTTTCTTCATACTCTCCTCACTCCTTCCTTGATTTCAGAAAAGGATTAGGGAGGTAGACTAGAAGAAGACCTCATACATTCAGTAAAAAAAAAAAATTTTTTTTGGCTAGACAATGGGGTTAAGTAACTTGCCCAGGGTCACACAGCTAGTGAGTGTTATGTGTCTGAGGCTGGATTTGAACTCAGGTCCTCCTAACTCCAAGGTGGGAGCTCTATCCACTGTGCCACCTAGCTGCTCCTCAGTAAATAGTTTTGAAAGAATGAAGATATTAGTCATTTATACTTTAATGTAGATTTAAGTACCCTTCACCCTTGTGGAAGAAAAGGCTTAAGTTCTGGCAAAGGAATTTCAGTCCTAGGGGCAGAGGCCTTCCTTGGCTCATGAAATATCTCTAATAGGGGTGACTTCCCTTAGCTCTGTGTCAGGTTGGGACAGTATCATCAAGGAAATAGGCTCAATTAAGGACACAGTCACACTCTTAGAACTTACTCTGTGTTTATCTAAGCTATATGTTTACCTAGAAATGCAATATCTTTAAAATCCTTCATTTTTTCCCTGTCTAATTCGAATAGTGTGATAAAATAGACCTTGGAACAGACTTCAATATACCGGCTGTTCTTCCACCAGGTGATGTTTCCCTTTCCAGGAGCCCTCCAAAAGTTCTCTTCATTCTGCACTCAATGCCGGGTGTCCATAACCAAATGCCAGCTCAGAGCCTCAGAGAATCCCATAGACAGAAGGAACTTCAAAGACCATCCAGTCTGCCCAGATTATCACCAAGATTACCCTCTTTGATATCCCTAACAATTGTTCACACAATATTCCCTTGAAGACCTCCAATGAAGGTGGATTTATGAGAGAGGTATGAAATCAGTGGGTCTCAGTTTCCTCAGCTGTCAAATGGGGCTGATATTACTTGCAGTACCAGCCTCATGGAATTGTAGTGGGGAAAGTGTTTTGTGAACTTTAAAATGGGTGTTTTTAGAATAGAGATAGCGATGAAGACTTGACCTGTGATTTCATTAGGATAGGGAGCTCTTACTCTCAATATAGATTTCACTTTCCCTGAGATTCATAGTCTGAGTGTGTTTTAGAACACTAAGAGGATAAGTGACTAGTCCAAGGTCACAAGATAGTATATGGTGGAGGAGAGAGTTATTGCTGTTGTTGTTATTACCTCCTAAAGCTATCAATTGCACTTGGAAAATTTTAGTGGTCAGAAAGCTTTTCCTTCTCATTAAGCTAAAGTTTGTCTTTCTACAGCTTATACCTACTTCTGTCTTCTAGGGCCAAATGGAACAGATCTATTCCTTCTAACCCATGATAGTCCTTCAGGGATTGGAAGATGGTTAGTACATTCACCACAATCTCTTCTCCAAGCTCAATATCCTCAGTTAGCAGACTTAAAGATTTAAAGTTAGAATGAAAGTTATCTGGTCCAGCTCTCTCATTTCACACATGAAGACACTGAGGCCCAGAGAACTAAGTGACTTCCTCAGGTTCACGCAAGGATGAAGCTGCATACCAGGGACTGGGCCCCAAGTCCTTTGATTTAAAGTCCAGTGTTCATTTTACTCTGTAAGCTGACTCTTATCTACACCACCCCTCAAAGGCTATGAAGAATTCCTGGTTAAGTCCCACATCCCCGAACCACATATTTGTACCAAAATCTCCTTTAACTTTCTGCAATGAGAAATTAAGGTTGAGATTCTCTTGCCATCTCCACTTGCAAAATCTAGTTTGAGCAATGTACAATTAAGGTCTCTCTATACACCCAAAGGACCTTCATGGTACAAATGACAGTTGCAGAAAAGTACAAATGTGTAATGAATGTTCTATCTATTTGTGTGCTTTCATAGGGAACTCTCACTCAAAAGAAAGCAGCTGACATTAGGCATAGCCTTGAAGAATCCTCTGAATGACAGTTTACCTTGCTTGGTGTCCAGATGTGTCTTTTACCCCTTTATTTCTTTCTCTAATTATTTATGCATCATTATAACAATATAATCATCATGAGCATTTGTAGTTCCTAAATTAGGCTACAATATAGGTCTTTCTCTGTTGAGCCATGTGATTGTGAGCTTATCATCTTTATCATCAAAGTGCCTAAAAGGTACTGAGGAATCCACTGATCATGGGAAACAACTCTTTTTAGGGCAGAAACATTCCCAAAATATTCACTATAATGCAACCTATATTCAGTTCTGCTGTTTTAACAAATTACACAGCATAGTTTTGAGTCTTCTCAAAACTGAACAGTGGAAATCATCTTTCCCAACCCCCTACCTGTAAGCCAATACAGACAGATGGGTCCTTTCTGTCCCCAGACACTTTCAGAAAAAGTTTTAAGCAGTACAAACCCCATATTAACAGTAAAGACATTCTCCCTTGCCCTCTAACCTGTATCATTCTTGTTGCAAGGGGCCCCCTCCCTGTTCGAGTTGCCTTTCCTGGTGATGCTGAAGATGTATATCCCTGGCACAGACTCACTTGGCCCGAGAGTGGCAGCAGCAAGAGCAGGTGAGAGTTTGGGGATGGAGGAACATCCTTGGGAAATGGTGAGGACGTTGTTGACCACGGAAACTCGGTGTCTGTCTGGGACTCCAAGTTGTCAGAATGCTAGGTAAAGAAACAATTATAGTGACCGAATGCCCCTCATATCCACCCCAGGGGGGCTCTGGGGGCCTGCAATCAGCAGAGCACCTTCTCATACTGGGAGCTTTCAACTCCCAGGACAGAGAATGTGGACTCCAGGTGAGCAGGCATCTGAGCTCTTCTCTCTCCTGGGTATCTACCAAGGCTTAAAGAGACTAATTTGGCTACCATGGGGTGTGTGTGTGTGTGTGTGTGTGTGTGTGTGTGTGTGTGTGTGTGTGTGTGTGTGTGTGTGTGTTTCAGGAAAGGAGAAAAATAAGTTTGGCGGGATCCAGTCCCTGACTTTTTCTGACACTTCATGGTCCTCCTGTAGATTGCAACCCTTTTCTCTCCATATTCCTGTGTAATACTGACAGCACAAAAGCAAGAGGAGGAAAAGGAGGCTAGAGTCACAAGGCATGAATGCCATTTTCCCAAGGTCTCAGCCTCAAGGCAAAGTGGGGAAAACTCCCATCCCAGGTCAAATCTCTTTCTCTTTACTTTAACAGTTCTCCAAGACACCCTGCAAGCTTCCCTAGATCATCCTAACCAGGTTTCTCTTCTATCATCATCTAGCCTAGAGTCAGAAACCTAAGCTATCGCAGAGTTAGTGTTTGGCTTCCTTTTTCTTTGCTTTGCTTTTTAAGGTGCAATGGAATGAGTACTGGGCTAGGAGTTGGGAGACCTGAATTCTAATCCCACTTCTGCTACTGACTCCAGAGGGCAGAACCACAAAATCTCAGAGTTGGAAGGCGTGTCAGAGGCCACTTCATTCAACCCCTACCTGGCTGAAAACTCTCGCAATATCTCCTATAAATATGAGGAGCAACAGCAATGCCTGGTGTGTGTATACGTGTACTCATAACGCTCACATGAATCTGTAGTCATATAAATATACCCACTATTGATTGTAGAAATGTAAATTGAAACAATTCTGTGGTACTACCTCATACCTATTAGATTGGCTAATAGGATAGAAAAGGTAAAAGACAAATGTTGGAGGGCACGTGGGAAAAATGAAACTTTAATGGACTGTTGGTGGAGTTGTGAACTGATTCAACTGTTCTGTAGAGCAATTTGGAATGATGCCTATAGGGCTATAAAATGATTTATCACGTAGCAATACCACTACTAGGTCTGTATGCCAAAAGAGATAAAAAGGAAAAGGACCTATGTGTACAAAAATATTTATACCAGCTCTTTTCTGGGGGTAAAGAATTAGAATTTGAGAGGAAGCTCATCAGTTGGAGAATGGTCGAACAAGCTGTAGTACGTGATCATGATGGAATACTATTATACTACAAGAAATGATGAGTAGGATGCTCTGAGAAAAAAAGAACATGAAAAAGACTAGCATGGGCCGAAACAAAGTGAAATGTATTGTGAACAAAGTAACAGCAATATTGCAAGATGATCAGTTGTGAATGATTTAGCTATTCTCAGCAATACAATGATCCAAGACAACTCTGAAGGACTTATGATGAAGAATGCTATCCCCAGAGAAAGAACTGGTGATGCATGAATACATATTGAAGCATACTTTTATAAACTCTATTTTTCTTGATTTTTGTCTGTTTTCTTTCACAACATGACTATTACGTTTTGTATGATTAGAGATATATAACCTATATAGAATTGCTTGCCTTCTCAATGGGGGGGGTAGGGAGGGAGGAAGGGAGAGAATTTGGAAATCAAAGTTTTAAAAACAAATGTTAAAATTGTTTTTTTACATGTAACTGGGAAAAATACTACATAAAAGCTAAAAAAAAAGATGAAAAAGACTCTCTTTTCTCCTACTCCTCCAGTGTCAGGAACAAAGGTTGGTGCTATGCCCATCTCTCCACCAGTATGTAGTGCTTGTAGGAATGGCAAAGCCAAGGTGATTGATTACTGTCACATTATATACGTATATGAACAGCTACATGAAACGGTGGATGGAGTGCCAGGCCTGAGTCAAGAAGATTCATCTTCCAGAGTTCAAATCTGGCCTCAGACTCATGTGTGTGTGTGTGTGTGTGTGTGTGTGTGTGTGTGTGTGTACATATATATGTGTATACACAGATGCTTTATGAAGCAGAGGCTAAATATTCAACAATCAGAAGGAGTTCAGGAGCCAAATTGCTGACAAGTTTATTATAGTTGTAATAATTAAGGGCATGATTCCAAAATGGCTTGCATTCTACTACTTCTAAAGCATAATTTGTTTGTTGGTGTATTGTTAGAATAAAGCAAAAGTGATTGAACAATTTCATTTAAGACACTTTCCTTGATTTTGTATTTTGTATAGTGCTGCTGGGTACTGAAGGGTGATCATGTAAATTGTAATTTGGCAGGAATGTCTCGCCCTTGTCAAAACAGGAGACAAGGTAGACTCTGCTAACAATGCAAAAGAGTAAAAAGTACTGTTTGTTTGGAAGTTCAGGAGTTGTTGTGTGTTGATTTGTGGCAAAGTCAGAAAGCCTACATGTTGTTCCCAGAACCGCACAGTCCATGTCTCTGGGCACTTTCTCTGGTTGTCCTCCATGCCAGGAATGCTCTTCCTCATTTCTGCTTCCTGGATGCCTTGGCCTCCTTTGGTGGTTGTTGTCCTTCATTCTCGAAGAGGACCAAAATGACATCACTCTGCTAGAGTCAGGTTGCAGTGTGTCCAACTGCGGCTGATCAGATCAACACAAGCTCAGAATGTCCTACCACAGGTCGGGCACAAATAGTCCATGTGACCATTTAGGGTGAATTCTCTAAATTTGCACATCTGTCATTTCTTCTGAGCTGCTTCAATTCTGCTTTGCTCACAGAGCACAGCACCTTCTTTGATGAGGGCACACCATTCTGGGCAGTCCTGTGCCAGTGTCTCCCATGTCACACAATCAATTTCAAAGTTCTTAGGAGAGACCTTGAGAGTGTCCTTGTATTGCTTCTTCTGACCACCTTGTGAAAGCTTGCCCTGTGTTAAGTCCCAACTGAAACCCCACCTTCTACATGAAGCCTTTCTCAAACTCTCTTAATTCCAGTTTCTTTTCTCTCTTAATTATTTCCATTTATGTAGTATATAGCTTATTTGTACATATTTGTTGGGCATGTTGTCTCCCCATTAGAGTGTGAGCTGTCCAAGGGAAGGGAGGGACTTTCTTTTACCTTTCTTTGCATCCCCAGGGCTTAGCACAGTAACTGGCACAAAGTAGGCATAGGCAGCTAGGTAGGGCAGTGGATAGAGTGCTAGGCCTGGAGTCAAAAAGACTTGAGTTCAAATCTGACTTCAGATACTAGCTGTGTGACCCCAGGCAAGTCACTTAACCCTTTTGACTCAGTTTCTTCATCTGTAAAATAAACTGGAGAAGGAAATGACAAACCACTCCAGTATCTTTTTCAAGAAAACCCCAAAGGGTGTCACAAAAAGTTAGACAGGCCTGAAACCAACAGAACAACAACAGTTTATTTTGAATAATGTGACAATACCTTGCCTCAAAATATTTTTGTCAATTTTATGGAGGATGAATTGGAGTGTGGAGAGACTTGAGATGGAAAATCAATTATGAGGTTGTTAAATAGTCCAGGAGAGAGGTGATAAGGTCCTGAGGTGTTGATCATTTGGTTAGAGAGAAGGGAATAGATGCAAGACAACATGTAGATGTAGGCTTTGCTATGGATTGGATATGAAGGTGAGGGAGAGTGAAGAGTCAAGGTTTGAGGTTTCAAACTTAAGCATCTGGAATGACAGTAGTGCCCTTGACTGAAACAGGCAAATTGGGAAGAGAGATTTTTTTGGGGAAAGATTTTGAGTACTGTTTCAGACATGTTGAATTTGAGATTCATACAAAGATCTAGTATGAAATGCCCAATCCGCTATTGGTGATAAGTTACTGGAGCTCAAGAAAGAGTTGGGATGTATATGTAAAATCTAGAATTCATCTGCATGAATGGATCAATAAGTAAATGAATGATTTTAAAAAATCCAAATGACCTACTAAGTGCTTTAGCAACACACCTGGATATCAAACAATTTAAATTCTAATGTCAAAGAAGTAGGGAGAGAGAAAATTAATTTGTGGGAGTGGTGGCCAGGAAAGGAAATGTCTCAGGTTTCACAAGGATGATGAATTGATCCATTAGGCAGTGGACTGATATACTTTGCAAGAACAATATTAGATAGATGATTGTTGTTGTTCAGTTGTGTCCAAGTCTTCATGACACCATGGACAAGTCCATGGGGTTTTCTTGGCAAAGATACTAGAGTGGTTTGCTACTTCCTTCTCCAGTGTGTCCCCATCTTACAAATAAGAAACTGAGGTAAATGGGGGTTAAATGACTTACTCAGGGTCACACAGCTAGTAAGTCTGAGGCCAGATTTGTACTCAGGTCTTCCTGATTCCAAGCTCAGTACTCTATCCACCTTGACACCTAGCTGACCCAGAAAATGATAGGTAGATAGACAAACAGATAATAGGGCATTAGTTAAGTACACTGTGCTGATTGCTGAAGATTCAAATATAAGCAGTCAAAAAGTACCTGCTCTCAATTTTACTTTCTCATATGGGAAGATAACATTTAAAGGAGAAAAAGGAGTGCAAAGGGGAGACACTGGTGTGGAGATGACCAAAAATGTGGAAAGGAGGCTTAGTTCAGAGCAAGATAAAGGCAAAAGCTGACCTAGCAGCCTGGAATATAAATGTGCAGTCCAAATTCACCCTGAAGGGGAGAAGGAAGAGAGGAGAGAAAAAAGAGAGATGTAGATGGTGGCTAGACTGGAGGCAACATGATGTGGAAATGACATAGAAGTGAAGCATGACAGATTAAAGTATTCATTTGCTTTCCACAGAGCAAAAAGTGGAAGGGGACTAATGTGGGGGAGAGGGGAGAAGAACTTATCATGAGAAGACAGAGAATATGGGAAAAATGGCTAGGGTGGATGGTTGGATTTTCAGCTTAGTCAGGTCCAGTGATCTAGGCAGAGCTAGTGGACTGAATTT